CGGCACCAACTCACCCAACGATATACTCGTTTGGTCAGTTTGGTCCCGCTGGGGCTGCACTAGGTCCTCAATCAGGAGCCCAGGCGGAGGCCGACCCATCATCATTTCCACCCTCACCTCCATTCGGTCCTCCTCCCCCTGGCCCTCCTGGACCCGCGCCGCCATCCTAAGTGAGCCGTAGTTCGGCTCAGTAGGGGAGAGTGTAAGGGGCGGCTAGGGATACGGTGTGGCACTCAACATGAGTGGGCCACATCTATCCTAAGCGCCACTTCCGCGTTGCTGTATCCGGGCGATCGATCTTATCTTATCACGCGCGCTTGTTTGCTCCTGGCAAACAAGCCAGATCTCGTATATATATTCATGGACTCTCGTATGTACTCTGTATCTTACTTGTAACCTTCGTACCTCTTGGAATACCATCCGCACCCTCGACGGGCAGGCGGGTACCGTTCTCTCAGGCGCGAATACCTCAAGACCAAGACCCCAACCTCTTACAGAGAGAGAGCTGTGGCGCTCCGACTGTGTCACGCTAAGTGCACAAGGGAAGCAAAACATTGGTGAGACTGCTAAAAATAGACTGACGAAAGAGTGTCCCTGCAGGCTCCAATCGTCGTCTTCACACCTTGCTGTGCTGGTCGACTCGGAAGAAGACAAGGCGTGTCACAGGATGCAGAACAAAATTGGACGCCTGCACCGTGGCGACGCACCTTCACCGCGTACACATACAGGTACCCTCGTAGCATTTGTGGGTCAATGCAATTGGATTACACTAGAACGCGTCCGTATATCATCGCCACAAGTCGTTCCTTCACGGCGAACTTGTGTGCTCTCCAGATAGCTTGGATTCGGATTCATCGTTCAGATTTTCGGAGGTGACCAGAGAACGCTTTCAAAGCCATGTATATCGTACGCACCATAATAAGGAGTTCGAACCAAGGCTCAGGTAAACCATGCACGAGATCGTCGGTGGAGGAGGGGTTCCGATAGAAGCACTGACCACTGCCTCGTCGCTGAAACAGCTGGCATCCTGAGAAGGCGCGTCTGCTCTGACTCTCGAGACCGAATCCTGTCTAAGTGTCAACTGAAGTGTTGAGCGAGTAAGCGTTTCACATAGTAACGAGATTGACTCTGGGTGGAAAACCAGCTACAACCGAGGTATTCCAGGGTATTCCTGTTGTGGTCGGAGGAAAGAATGATGTGGCGCCTAGAAAAGTGGCGTGAATGTTCGTGTGAACCCTCCTGACGGTGAACGTTACACCTCATTATCCGTGTTCATGAATCGTTAAACTTGACGTTGATCACCCTCGTTGCGATTCGGCTGCGTCGCAGAAATACTTGACGAGTGATGCATTGATGCTTGAAGGTGCGGTTTATTTGTTGAGCGATTCTGCCTTATTTATTGACAGGCGTCGATGATCGATCATCAATATCCCCAAGTGGCATCAAATTGTCCTCACAGCCATGATGGAGCGTCAACTTGTTCACCTCTCCTAGTCGCTGTCGGAACCGCCTCACCGTCTCTAACTTTGTATGTGACTTGTAACGAAGCGCGTGGCCTGAAATCTGGCGCCTTCTGTAACACTCTCTAGGGCATGAACTAGTGCACATCTCAGGTTTCCGCACAGCCTCCCAGAACTTTTCAGTGCTAATTCAAGTTGATCACCCTGCCGTGGTCACTAAAACGTCTCCTCATCGCTTTTCATTATGTTCAATCTACTTAAAGGCAGCTATGAACCATCGTCAAATCTCCTCACCACACCTCACCCACTGAGCTTCCACTCACCAACTCGCCACGAATGTCTTCGACTAATACCAGCTCCATCGCAGGCGGTCTACCCACCGTCTCCCAGGACATTGCACCCTCCGTCATATTCCTTATCTTGTACTTTGTGACCAACGCTGTCTGCATATGGCGTATGATCTCACAGTACCGGAAGCCCCTGCGAATGCTCCTTTCCTTCATCCGCATCCAACTCTTCGAGTCGGTTCGCGTTGTCACCATGATCCTTCGTATCGTCGGAGCGGTAAACTATACCAACACACTCAAAGGCACCGCCTCAATTAACGAAAGCCTCATCATCGCTGAGCAGGTAAGTCTGACTCTGTGGCCCTTTTTGAACGTCGGTACTCATCGATGTTTGTTAGATATTGCTCAGCGTTGGCTACCTAATGATAGCGTCTACCTTGATTAAACTCACCGCATTCCATGAAGCGCGAGGGACTGGTGGGGTCATACCAAAGCAAAGAAGAACGGTCACAGGCGTTTTGGACCTAGCGATTATCGTGGCAATGTGAGTACCATCCACACGCCTCCGTTTTTTGTCGCAGTCACTGATCTCCGCGCAGTATCTTTGGTATCATAGCCGGCACAAACTACTCCAAGAGCTTGACCGACGCAAGTACCGCAAACTCTGTCCGAAACGACAGGTTCGTCGCTGCCTTTACGATCTCTGTACGGCAGCTGCTAACTCACCGTCTTGTATAGGAAAATCTCGGCGATCATCGTCCTCGTCGTGCTCGCCCTTCTCATTGGTTACAACGCTCTCCTCTCCACGCGACCAGACCTGCCGAGGAAGACCTCATTTTGGCTCATCATCTGCTCCGCCCTTCTTGTGAGTAATCGCCTTCGTGGCCTTTTGGTACCCTTTACTGACAGACACCGCGCATCAGATCGTCGTACCGGCCTACCGTCTCGCACAGACGCTGAACCCGCCATCCGACTCTGACTCCACTGGCCAGAAGGTCGCGTTTTACATCTTGCAAGTGGCCATGGAATGGCTAGCGAGCACCGCCATCTTGGCCGTCAATGCGAAGGAGTGGTGCGGGGTCGACGATTACACCGGGCTCAAGACCACTGGTAGTGATCAGTACATGATGGGGGAGCAGACTTATCAGGCTTGATGGGACTGAACTCACTTGACGAATGGACAATCATGATCTTTCTGCGCTTGTGTTTCTGTACAATTGAGGCATATCCTGGGCATCTATATCTATATTACTATACCAGCCATTCCCGTGCTCAACTACTGTAACGGCCACGCCAGATAATTATAGGACTGTCGGTTCTCGCACATCGTGAATGACAATGCATGATTTACGATGTCAGCTCTAACCCTGGGTGACCAGAGCTGAGGCTATCACACTCCAGCGGAGGAAGACGCGTGAAGGCTATTTGATTGCTATTTGACGCCACACTCTTTTATCGCTCTTTCCTTGTCGTCTCCCTCTTGGTCTGAGGTATCTGTATAACTGCTTCTGCAAGCAAAATATGGGCGATGGAGAGCAAAACAATGCCGTCTATCAGATTTGAACTAGTGACACAAAGCAATGCCGTCTAACAGATCTGAACCATGGAGTGCAAAACAATGCCGTCTACCAGATTTGAACTAGTGATACAAAAACAATGCCGATTACCAGATTTGAACTAGTGACCTTCCCATTACGTAATCATCCGCTAGTTCAAATCGCGTGGACGGCGAAGTGAGACGAACGATACAAGTGGGATGCGATAACCACTACGCTAAACCGGCATGGCAAGACTTAGCAAAGCATTATCATTAATTTATCGCAGGCTCCGTCAGAAGCTACTGGGCGAAGTCAGTGCCACAGTGAGCAGGCACCTTTCGTCTTGACTCTTCACCATGACCTTCAACCTGGTGTCCAGTTGCAACGCCGACATGTTTGTTTACCAGCTGCCTTGTTCAATGACCCTTCGGCGACACACATATACCGGTCTTCGATAATCCTTTGGGCGAGCCTTCACCAAGTAACCTAAGTAATAACCGAGCACCGTGCGCTCACAGTAAGCAATGCCTCCTCGAAGTTAAGAATAGGTCGGCAGCAGCCAGTACGGCTTGGAGAGGAGTTTGCTTGCCATCTTCACTGTGGTCCTCGGCTACCAAGCTTCTGCAGCATACGGGCCAGTGGTTGTCCTGTCTATGCGTGGAAATGTCCTGTCTATGCGTGGAAATTCTCGCTCGAGTGGGCCAGTCGTTACTCCTGCGCAACTCCAAAGCTTGTTTTTGCATGATGATCAGCGACGCGACTTCCATAGAATTCTCCGAAATTCTAGTATATGAAGAGCCACTCTCTTTGGTCTCATTGGTTTATCTTTGCGCCTTCTGACCCCTCCATCCTCGGGCCTCCATGTACAACCATAACGTTACCAGAACTCAACGGACTTGCTCGAACTCCAACTGTCGTACTCTCTTCCCCGGACTCGGCCACGCACCCCTAACTTGTAGCGGATGCCGCGTTGTCGCTTATTGTAACAAACAGTGCCAGAAGGCCGCTTGGAAGACTCACAAGTCAGTACACTGTTTCTCTCTAGCGACTGTCACATTCTTTCTATTTTCTCAAGGTTGATCGACATATTGACCGCGATGTACTCATGACATCCTGACTATTAGACCCGATTGTTTAAAATGGAAGACTGTGTCTACCGGCACGGACGAAGACCTCGAATTGAGAACGCGTTTGATTCAGCTCAAAGAGTTCTATGAGCACCACTTTTTCTCCTTCACCATCTCCGCCAATTCCGCTGTTCGCGTCTTCCAATCAAGGACCACCACCGGTGCTCCCTTCTCTCCACGCGATCACTTCCTCCACCTCCACCTCTCCTACCAGCCCTCTCGGGACAAGGTGACCCCAAGCACCATGTTCCGTGTCATCGATGCACAGATCCACCCTCTGGCACACTTCAAGTTCTGCCCGGACGTCTTCGAAAAACGTTATAATGTCGCCGACGCCGCCATGAAAGCCGCGGTCAAATGTCTCAGCGATGGGATGCTCCCTGTGATCGTCGACTCTGCTGAAGCAGGCCACTACGTGACTGAGGTACACATCAATCAGGACCGTTATCAAGATGATAGCGTGGCCGTCTGTTCGAACCCTAAACTCTGGCTTTTGGAGCTGAAGCGCAAGGTCGAGAGGGGGCATGTGTATAACAAAGGCGTATCGAAGAGCGTCTCGGCGGGACGGGAGTCGCAACTAGGGAAGCTGTGCCGCATTCCGGTTCATGAGAGAGAGACTCGAGTGCAGAAGTGGAAGTTTGTGCCGTTGACGAAGGAGGAAATGAAGGATGGTGGATATATCGATCTTTTCGAGGAAGGGGAAGCTGCTGAGCGTGAACCGTGAGTCTCCTGGATCGCACTCTCCGCTTGTTGCTTCTTGGACTGAATATTGATATTTGCTTTATTTATGATCTCCAGGCTTCCGGATGTTCTAGCAATGGCTTTGCAATTGTTACTGTCGCAGAGATGATAATATCTTACCATATTTTGAATCGTTCAGTCTTTTTCCCCGCCGTCTTTCATCGCCGTCAGCTTCTGTTTCTTGAGGTTGACGTATGTGCCATTCTTGGTCGCACGAGAGAAATAACTGTTTGTATTGTGTCTGCTTCCACGACGCTAATCTTGCCTAGTATGTTATACTTCGATGGTCGAGAAACTGCATGTATATCTTCAGCATTGAGGTCAAGAACAATGTCAACTCTATTGTTTCCGTTCCACATTCCCCTACTCCCCGCTCGCCATCTCCAACAACTTCTCAATACTCCTCCCCAAATCCGCCCCACTCGCCTCAAACACAAGCCCCAACACCTCCTCATCCACCGCCGGGAATATCTGCCTCAACGTCTCCTTCGCCGCCCCATTCGCCCTCTCGTGCGCCCTATCGATCTCCTCCTGCATCTGCGATATATCCAGACTTGGCGTCGGCGTCCGCGAAGTCGACAACAACTGCCCCTGCAACGCCTGTTGTGCAGAGTTAGATCTCGAATGCGCCGGCAGGGGCAGGGCGCTGAGTGGTCGAGTGCCGTGGGGGACGCCGGGAGGAGGTCGCGAGGGCGTTTCTTCAGGATTGTAGCCCCCGCCTGGTCCTCCAGGGCCAAAAGGGAAGGATCTTAAGCTCGAGTGGGTCGATCCGGCGGGACTCGGCATCCGCCTCACTCTTGGTTTGTACGGTGTCTGGATCGGGACCACTTGATTGCTCGTGCCCTGATCTCGAGGCGTCTGCGTACCCGAGTTCGAACCGCTTTGAAGCCTCTCCTCTGCCCCGTCTAGAACTTCTGAGAATATCCGCCCGATGGCGTTGAGAGGTTTGCTGATGGTGTCACCTGTCCTCTGGAGTAGTCTCTTGGCGTCATCGCCGAAGGGAAGGGACAGGGGTGTGGCGGGCTCTTCGCCTGCGTGGGAATATGGTGCGGTTGGGACTGGGATGGGGTTTGCTCGGGGTCGTGAGGAAGCAGAGGAGGTAGAGAAGCTCGTGGAGTGGGTAGGGGTGAACATTCCAGAGTTAGTCGAAGGTAAAGGAGCAGAAAGAGGTGGTGAGTCTGGTCGAGAAGACGGTAGTGATTGAATTGCTGCTTCGACGTTGCTGAACAAAGTGTATGTTATGATGGGTTCTCGTGACTGACGATTAGACTATGAATTATACCTTTCGAACTCTTCTTGTGTGATATTTGACAACGACGTGTGATCCATCGTTTCGATGAACGATACCGCACCCATCTGAACATAGAATCATTTATGTTTGCAAATAACAAAATGATTTCCATGCTTACCAGGCTCGAAAGATAATATCCTGCCTCGCTCTGCAGCTTCTGCGGATTTCGGAACCGTTGGATGAACCTAGAATAGAGTTAGTCCCTTGTGCATGAGAGCAACATCGCGATTTCCGACGCACTCGACATTGGACAGTAGATGTTCTGGATTTGCCTTGAGCACGACGAAAATCAAGATAGGGATGAATGAATCTGCGCTCTCGTCCGTGCCTAGGTGCCGTATGAGCCCTACAATATATCCAATTTCGTACGTGTCAGTATCAACGAAGGGTTTATAGCAGCTTGAAGAGGGGAGCGGACCAAAGATGACCTTGCAACAATTCAGTATACAAATGAGCTTGTCTCGAGGTGCCTTGTAGTGGTTGATCTTCACGAGCTCTACATTGGGGCTATCATTGAGCCACGCAGTTGAACAGGGAAGATAGGAGGGCAAACCTTGCTCAGCGAACATCAGGAAACCATTGCCTCCCTCTCCTTCTGGGACGTCTAGATGCGATGGTTCTATCCATCCAAACAGCGCCACCCGCTGAGCGAGAACCCGATCTCGCTCCAGGTCATCAGTTGTCACAGGTCTTGGAGGTATAGCACGAACGACCTGTGGCGTAAAGGTACTGGAGGTACGGCGTAAGGTTGGGACCACAGTAATAGTGGAAGGCGAGCATACAAGTCGTAGAGACGGTTCATGACCAATTTCTCCATACCCTCCATTGCGTTGTCAAACTCTGCTTCTGTACCATTACGCCACACTTCGGCCTCACGCATTTTCCCTGAGATAAACTGAAAGTAAAGTTCAGGTTTACAGTTCAAAAGAAAGGGAGCGTTGGACGTACATTGAGGAAATCATTGATGAGCTTGACTTGGTCGGTTACGGTGAACGTCCTCTTCGCGAAGTTGCTCAGAAACCTATCCATGATCTAAACTCAACTGCCAAGCGGATAGAGTAGCACGAACGCCACGCACGACTTCAAGTATTTCGCCACGGGCTCCGCACTCTTCGTCTTCATTTGATCAAGGAACTTCTGGAAATCGAAAGGCGGATCTCCACCTTTGCCGTCCTTACTCCCCTGGCCACCTCTCGCCACCCTGAGACTGGGAGAAGCAGTGCCACTATTCCTTCCTGACGAAAGGCCGGGTATTAAAGGCGAGGCAGTCCGTCCTTGGGTATCTGTTGACCGTCGTTTCGGAGAGCCTCTAGCGGCCAATTCCTCATCATCAACCTCCGGTGTTCGAGACTTCTCCTGCTGAGCCGCAAACGATGGTGCATGTATTGGAGTCGGCATGACGGTCGCAAAGTCCATAGATTGTGGTCGCCTTCTAGGTGGTGTACTGGGTGAGTTGCCGAGAGGCAGAGAGGGGAGGTTGAATGAACGAGCGAATGCCGCAGCCATGGCTGGAAACCCAGACGTGCTCGAAGATGGAGAAGTATTAGAGCGTTGAGGTGTCGATGGGGCTTCCTGCAGCTGAGATGGCGGTACGAGGATGGGCTTAGGGGACTTTGGAGGTGGAGCTGGTGGTGCGTGTCCCTCTGAACTTGCCCAGGCGTCATGTGCGTCCCGTTCTTCGGGGCTCACGAGCGGATCGAATGCATCGAGGACGGATTTGTCGGCGTGTTCCTTCTCTGAAATTTCGGCACTGGCATCCTCTTTGGATGACACTTGCTCATTGTCGTCCTGTACACCTTTCGTTGTCTCCGGGTCAAGGAGAGAAGGGTCGGGGGTATGAAGTACGGTATGTGTGGGTTGAGGAGCCGAGTCTTGCCATGGATCCAAGTCCACAGACTTATCTCCGAGAGAAAGGTCAACAAGAGCAGGTTGCAGAGAGTCTACATGGTGTTCAGAAGCAAGAGACGGAGAAGAATTGGTATCCATGGCCAACGTCGGCGAAAGCAATGAGCAACTCGCTTGCATCGCCGCGTGCGACCACTCAACTTGCACCCAAATCCGGCATGTGGCGGACTGACTCCTTTGCCTTCCACCACCAACAACACTGGATACGGTCTTGTGCTTCAGAAGCTACCTCGCGCAGTGTTTGTCTTGGATGTAATCTGATTCTGCTAACATGCTATGAGACTATCTGAACCTGTGACGAAACTTCTTTCTTGAAGGTCTGCACTGACCCGGATGGGCCACATCCGGCATGACCTAAGTACTTGACGCTCAGAATGTTCAATGACGAAAATGTTTACTTTCCTCTTCACTTCGATGTTGAGAACAGAACCCTCTTCGAGTTACTATTCGTGCGTTCACCCTATACAAGACCTGTAACCCAAAACAAAAAAAATGGACCCCAAACTCTCCGCTCATCTTCCCCTCACCAACTTATCAAATACTCATCACCACCCCACCTCATTTAAGCCGCCTTCAACACAACATTAACATCTCCAGTCGACGCTCCACCGGTAAACGTAGCCGTGAAAGGCACGCTCTGTCCACACGTCGCTGCCACAGCCTTAATACCCTGCTCCCAACGTCCCTTCGAGATATTGATCGTAGCACCAGATGTAGCGGGTGTGATAGTGAACTCCGAGCCTCCGTTAGTCCCGGTGGTCGAGGTGGGCGCGCCTTGACATTTCTCAATGGTACCGGCTATGCCGCCGCAGATGGCGAGGAGGGCGACGTTGGTTTCGTGGAAGTCGAGAGCACTGTGAGGGTGTGCAGCGGTCAGTGACGAAGACAAGGCGCTGAGGGTGAGGAATGCAGATGGGATAGGACGTACGCTTCGTTCGAGCAAACAACGTTGCTGACGGTCTCTTGACGAATCTCGATGGGTGCGGCGAAAGCGGCAACAAAGAGCGCAACGAAGGACAGGAAGTACAAGCCGAACATATTGGATATCGTCAAGAAGATTTGTGTTTGGGGGTATGAGGATGAGAAGTTTGGTATCAAGAGTTTGATGAAGAGTCGGTTCAAGGAAGTCGGCAGTCGTCACAGACGATGAATGTGAACGAGTGAGCGAGAATCAAAGGAGGGAAGAGACGAATGAACGACGAATAGGCAACCTGCTGAACCGGTCAGACTCGAAGGGAAGGAGGGCGAAGAAATGAAGTGGGGGGGAATTCAGGCCGTCTGTTCCGCCTGCTCTTTTATAGTACGATTCTACGTTTCTCGACGAGCGCAACTTCTTTCAGGTACAAAATCCCATGGTTGCTTTCGCTTGTGCGGCTTCGAGTCGGAGATTTTGCGGCTTTGCCAGGGGTTTGTGATCACCATCGCATGGCAACGGAATCTCGTGGTGAACGACCACCAGGTCGTCGGTCTTGGAAATCAGATAGTCTTGTCATTTTCTGTGTGGATGGAGACGTCCAATCAACATCTCTGCAGGTCGGGCTTGCAACGATAACTTCAACGGGTATTCAATTATGAGCAATATGGGATACAACGGTAACAAGACGTCAAAAATACACAATTTAGCCCACATCCAGTCCATGTCATGATCATGAGAGTATTAGTCCGTCTCCTACTCCGACGTCGCCTCAGCCTTCACAGGAGCCACCACACTCCCAGTAGCCTTCTTAGCTTCCTTCCGCCTCTTCGCCTCCCGCTTCTCCTCCACCCATCCCTCGATGTCGTCAACCGCCTCCAGAGGACGAATCTTATACTTCATGAGATATCCCTGCAGGTTCGCCATAGCCAGCTCACGCTCAGGGATCCTCGAAGCGAACTCCGCAGCCAGACGCTCCACCTGTTTCCTCGAAAGCTTCGGGGCACGCGCGGAGTGTCGGATACCCTGGTACTGAGGAGCCCCACCGGATTGGATGACTGGGGCGGGTTTTGGAAGCGGAGAGACCGACACGGACGGAACAGGGGAGAGAGGTTCCGAAGGAGCAGAGACATCGACGAGCTGGGCGGTGGGAACAGTCTTCGGGCTGCCCTTCTCCGACGGCGTCGCGTAACCAGAGTCGACGCTCTCCTTCTCGGTTTGCTCGTCCTCCTCAACAGCGACATCGGAGCTCCCGTTATCTGGGACGTAGAATCGACGGAACATCTCTTGAGCCTGGAAACGACTCGCAAGTTGAAACTCGACGTGCAGGTCCATTCGTCCGGGGCGAGTAAGGGCGGGATCTAGGACGTCGTACCGGTTGGTGGTAGCGAAGAGGAGCCTACCCTCTTGGGCACTGACACCATCGAGAGCATTCACTAGTCACATTCCGCAGCGTCAGCGTTCAGAAAGAAGGTCAGATATATAAAGCACGGATACTCACGGAGACCAGAAAGAGTGATCTTGGAGCCCGCACTCGGCCCAGCCTTTTCTTCCTGTTTCTGACCGTTCTGGCCGTTATTATTAGAAGGGTCTGGAGAGTTGGGATCCCGAGGATCGGAGGGCGATTTTTCAGGATCTTCCATACCACCGCGATTGAGACTGGTGGTGAAGGCGGCGTCGATGTCTTCCATGAGGGCGATGCAGTGCTCAGGCAGGCCGGAGATGAGGCTGTTGAGCGTGCTGTCGTCCATGCCGGATTTACTGAGCGAGATAATGTAGATATCGAGCTCGAGCTCGCCTGCCAAGCTGTGGACGATGGAAGTTTTCCCTGATCCTGGGGGTCCATACTGTGAAGTCCACATGTCAGTCGAGGTCGTAGCAGATGTGAGCAGAGGAGGATACGTACGAGTAGATATCCGCGACGGAAGGGAATGCCTCGTGCGCCGTACCATTTCTTGCTCTGCATAAAGTCCCTTGCGTCATCGAGGACGAGCTCTTTAACGCCGGCATCGAGAATGATAGATTCCAAGGGACGCTTAGGACGGGAGGCAACATGCGACCAGTCGCTGGAATAACTGTGGAAATTGAGTCATCGGGTTGACGTAGAGTGAAGAAGAGATACTCACCCAGTGCTGTTCGCAAATATGTCGATTTTGTCGCTGCGAGAAGCCATATAAAGGGCCCTAGCTTCTTCGATCAAGGCATCCAGCGCTGCACGCTTCCTAGCCAAGATACTACAAAACAGGTATGGAATAAGTCGTCTGAAATCATGAAAAGTAGAAGACACGTACGTGATATGAAGTGTCGATTTTTCCTGCCACCCCCATTTCTGGTCGTCCTTGACCCTGGATACGCTCATCCAGCGACCCTTGTACCAAAGTTTGTAGGTGGCAGTGTAGGAAGGTATACACTTGACTTTTCGCGTCTTGCGCCTTCGCACCGCAGCCTCGCCATCCTCATCGTCGTCTTCCTGCTCGTCTTCGCTGATACCGAAAGACGAGGTGCTGACGGTGAACTCGCGGACGTCGCGCCACTGTGGAAGCCGGGAAAGCCATAGGAGCATCCAATCTATAGCCATCGTCGAATACGGTTAGAAGCCTGCGAGTGACATTTGATGGAGCAATTAAGGAAAAACACACCATAAACGATGTCATCGCTCTCGAATGAGGCAGAGATAAAGAATTGGTCGATGAAACTCGAGTAGCCATACGTATACAGTCTGCGACAAGCTTCAAGCGCGAGACCAATCAAAGCAAGCTTAAACCAGTCGCGAAGAGCGGCGAAGGAGTAGATCAAGTTGAGTAGGGAAGAGATATCAGTCGGGATGGCGAATGGTGTAGGAGTCGATGAGATGGTGGCATTTTGGGTAGCGTTCGACATATTAGAAGCACCTCCTGTGAAGAGAGGGTTGGTGTCGTTGTTGAGAGCAGCTAATAAAGGCTGGATAAGTTGGAGATATAACGCCATTTTGATGGGGTTTGAGTGCGCGGTGCCACTGGGGCGAAATGTGGATGATACAAGAGATCTGAGAGTCCATCATCGAACATGAACCCCCTTTTAAGGAGCCCGAGAGCGCGTATGATTTAGCGCGGCACCGACTCAGGTGTGCAGACAAACGACCCTCCAGGCTCGAGGCTGTCAAGCCACCAGTCATCGGGAGTCCTCAAGAATGCTGTGGCCACGCTCTAGCCGAATGACTCGTGCATCGGACCCTAGGAGAGCCATGGATCCGCGCACAGATGCGCACTTTGGGAGGCTGTGGGCCTTGAAGCCCTGTTTGGTTGAGATATACTGGTACATAAATCTATGTTTTTCGTGTCTAGATCACGTCTGGATGGTACAAAAATAGTCAAACCACCTCGGTATGGAGATATATACCAGTAATGTACGAGAACCCTATCACCGAACATGACCCATGGAGGAAATGAGATATTTACGCGAAACATTGAGTAGTATGACAGGCTTCCAATTTGAGGAAAAATGTCTGTTTCTTCTTGGCGTTCGGGGGAATCGGTTGTTTTATTCATAGAAAGGGGAAACAGAAGAACGTCGGGTGGCCTTGAGGCATGCCTTGCTGTAAGGGCAGTGCAACATCTTCCCTGTATCAGTGCTATCGAACCTGGATTTGAGTCGTCGTGGCTCTGCAACGCCGAGCGCTTAGTTGAAGTAGAGTGGTTTGAAAGTCCGCAAGCGACTTTAGACGCCGGGGTTGCAGAGTCACGCAAAACGTCATCGGCCATAACTTGCCAACTCTTACCTTCCTTTGCAGTTCCAAGGACTATTCTGTGCACCTATTCTTACAATAGCGAACTACACGGAACCCTTTGTGCGGCCAAAGTCTCCGAAGCAAGGGTCTACATTCATCGCATCGCAGAGAACGCTGAGACTGGAGCCGCGCTGGCATCTTCTCGATGTCTGAACAGAAAGCCTCGCTTGACCTTACCCATGTTCTCTGTCAGATACGCCCTTACTTCACTCGAGGAAATACGGGACACTGATTACGCCTGTAATTTCAGACGATTCCGATTCTCATGTCTCACTCGTGCTGGCTCTCATCACTCTGTCCCCAATCCTTCTGATGGTAAATATCATCGTGCCTTCCTCCACTGCTTTGTTTATCACTTCATATTGATACGCTGTGTGATAGGCCTCATATGCGGTGCTGGCAGTGTACACGCGCGAACTCACTGTCATCAACATGTGGGCTGGTCAATTGCTGTGCGAAGCGTTCAACTGGATGGTAAAGCGCGCAATCAAAGAAGAAAGACCTGCAGGTGCGCGACTCAGCCGAACTGATACTATTTTTAACATTCGATGCTCATAGAGACCGTGGCGTTGTACAGATAGCGTAGGGACAGGTTATGGGTTTCCTTCATCACATAGTCAATATATGGCCTATTTCGCCACATTCCTCGTCCTGCACCTCTACTTTCGACATCATTTCGTCTCAACGGGGTACTATATCGTGGATGTGGCATGGCTGCTACTTCTTCATCTCGCACTGATTGGGTGGGCAGGGGTGGTCGCATACTCAAGGTACGCTACCATACGTTTTATCTATCCGCATGTCTGCTCAAACTCATATCACTCATCGCCTGCAGACTATACTTGACGTACCACTCACCTCCCCAAGTCCTATGGGGTGTCACTCTTGGCATTATTTTCGGCGTCTCATGGTATTCCGCCACCGAGCTCATCCCAACGCGGATACCAGACTCGTCCATTGGCAAGTTCAGAACATATGCTTTGGACCACCCGATATCCAGGTGGTTCAGGCTGAGGGATGGGTGGCTGGTGTGGGCCGACGGTGGCGTCGAGGCACATTGGCAAGCCTGGGCGAAGGAGCGGGAGAAGTTAAGGATAGCGGGTGGACAGACAAAAGTAAAGCGGACTTGATTCGGAGACATGTACGCAGCTGAATTGTGAACGAGAATTATTTATTCTTCTTGGGCTTATCGGGTGGTGCTAAAGGGTCCTCGTCCATCGTAAGTATTGTGGCGAGAAACCCTAAACCGAGTGCGGGGTCACATCAATAACCTCCACGTGTTATTGCTCCGACGTTCCGGAGCTTGCCCCGCTGAGGCTCGCTGCCAGTGAGGACGCTCGCCGCACACGATCCTTTCAAGAGCGTCAAAGTCGAATCACTTTTCGCCATGTCGCCATCCTAGCCGCCCCAAAATTATACGATCCTGTGTCCATTTTTGCTTGATATTTATTTACTTCGGCCTACTACTTAACTTCGTTCTGATCGATGCTTTTTCACCTACGCTCCGGAAGGAACCTTCGCCTTCGACTCACTAGCAGCCGTTTGCACACCATGACTCGGACATTGTCAACATTTGCTACGAAGACGGATCTCCCGAACTCGGATATTCCGATATTTACGACAATCGAGTCGTATAGGGATTGGAGGCAGAAGGCTTTCGATGAGAAGAAGAGTGTTGGGTTCGTTCCGACGATGGGTGCGTTGCACGATGGGCATCTTTCTCTCGGTGAGCATCGAGCACTCCGTCAAATTCTCGACTCGCAAAATTGATTGCGCGTTGTACAATGTTGCACTGTCGTGATTTTGGCAGTGAAGCATTCGCTGGCCGCGAACGACCTCACAGTCCTCTCCATCTTCGTCAACCCAGCCCAATTCGCGCCGCACGAAGATCTCGCGACGTATCCTCGGACCCTTCCTCGCGATCTTGAACTACTATCCGAGCTCTCATGCTCTACACCTCTTCCATCCACCTCTCCCTTTCCTTCGCCTTCGAAATCCTCGGTCCGAAGACCATCGGCGGTTTTCCTACCAGCGGTCAAGGACATGTACCCCTCGGGTATCAGTCAAGACCTAGGCAAGCAAAAGGGCACATTCGTCGAGGTGAAGGGATACGGAGAACAGATGGAAGGAAAGAGCAGGCCGGCGTTCTTCAGAGGCGTAGCCACCGTCGTCACCAAACTCTTCAGCATCATCCAGGTGCGTTCCCGGTTCCACCCACCCACCCCCCTTCCTTCCTTCTGAACGTCTGAGCTCACTCGAGGCACACACGCACAGCCAACGAACGCCTACTTCGGCCAAAAAGACATCCAGCAGGCGCTCCTCCTCCGACGTATGGTCTCAGATCTACACCTCGCGCATCCGACCGCTTCCCGTCTGCGCATCATCCCGACCACGCGGGACTCGACCACCGGTCTCGCGCTCTCCTCCCGCAACGCGTATCTCACGCCAAAGGAGCTCGCATATGCACCAGCCCTCTACGCAGCCCTCCGAACCGCTGGCGAAGCCTGGGATCAGGGTATGTGCAAAGGGGAGTGCATTGCGCGGGCAAGAGGCGCGTTGCAGGAGTTTATGGAGGGGGTGGCTCGGAGTGAGGGCGGACTGGAGGGAAAGGTGGATGTGAGGGTGGATTATATCGAGTTCAATGATGCGGATAGTTTTGATCCGTTGTTGGAGTTGGATGGTGCTTCGAATTTCAGGTCGGAGGCGGGCGAAGGGGGAGGGAAGGCGGTGATTTTGAGTGGGGCGATGTGGGTGGGGAAGACGCGGCTGATTGATAACTTCGTGTTGGGGGATGACGGGTCGATTTTAAGCACTTGAAGGATAGACGGAGTGGGCGATTGGCAGTATAGCACACCAGCTGGAGCATACTTGGATAAATCATCGTATATCACACTTACCTCAGCCAATAGTCGCTGGCCTATTGTAAATCTCAGACAACCATACTTGGAGATCTCGCAAGTATGAAAGGGGAAGAAACGTCTGAATGAATTCGAAGTGAAGAGTTACATTCCACTCTCGAAACCGCTGTACTGCCCATATCAAGCCTCGGTAGCCTCCACAGGCTTGACGCCGTACTTCGCGGGGTCGACGCCGTGGTATGGGTGGTTAACAAAGTTGAACCTGTGGTTATGAAGAAGATAAGTCGATTAATCTCAAGGCTACAGTCCCGAAGGCTTGGACTTTGGGTTCAAAAAAGGTACATACATGGGGAAAGCACCTGGCACAAGAAAACGCACAGAAACAATTCAGTTCAAGTCATGTTGATGCGACTGTGAAGGGTTGACTCACCAAATTTGAGTTGCGAGAATTGAGAGTTTCGGTGAGCGGCCGCCTGGACCCACATCGGTTGAGGAGACTCGCCCCAGAGAGGTTTGCCCTCCCGTGCACGCTGAGAGAGCTCTGCGAAATCCTTCTCCTCTTCCCGCTTGTTCTCCGACCACCCCAGGAAACGGACTGCATGAAAGCCAGGGTTTGAGTCATGGTCAGCTAGAGAAAGCAGGGAGAACAGCGATAAAGCGAGCGCACAGCTTGATCTTTGGTAGGCGAATAGGAAACCACCAAGGAAGCCCATAACGCCTCCCACACGAAGTGTGGTCTTCATTCCATGTTTGATCGGAAGAGGGTCAGTCCATTCTAAAGTAGCAGATATTATATAGCATCAATATCTCAGACAAGAGAATATTTGCATAGAGCAAGAAAGACACGAACGCCAGCCATAGAGAAGTCCAGGGAAAGCAGCAGTCAGTGCTCCCCACCAAGCATAGTCGGAGGGGCGCATGTAGCGCACAACACGCGCAAAATGAGGGTCCGCATCGATGAGTGGATAAGGCGTGGATACCACCTTCTCCGGCATAGTGTCTGACGGCGACGACGATGAAGAAGGGCTGAAAGAGGATTCTGTTCACTGTCGGCGACGGCGAGTCGACGAGTCCACAAAGCCACGTGCTCTCGGCAATTCCCGTTTTGACACCGGTCAACGCGAGGCTGGCGTTGTTTCTTGTTCTGTCCCTCCATCTCGAACGCCCACCATCGTCCACCCCCGTCCGCACCACTCGCGACTACAACACACCCATACAGCTTACAACAAGTCAGGCCATCTTTCGACGATGAGTGCCGCGCGCAGAATCCCCAACGAGCGAAGCGCGACGCGCCGAGCTCAGTCGTCCCCCTACGGGCGAGCCCCCCAGCAGAAGCAGAAACAGGTATGTCAAGCCCCCACGTTCCAGTCATTCTTAGTCTGATGCGTTTCTAGTCTGGCATACGATCACTGTTTGGAGGCATTATGAACTTCTGGAACTCTCTCGGATTCAACACGCAAGAGCTGGACGAAGAGGAACAGCAGTTCGCCGAAGAAGAACTTCCGCGAAGGCCCACGGCTGCCGACAATCTCGCAAGACGCGGTCATGAAGTACGTCTTCTTTTGCTCGTTATTGTGATGTCGCACCTCTGGGACTCATCTGTCTTGCCGTAGCTGTTTGACAGTGGTTCTACCACCGACCCGCGAAGTGGGGCGTATATTCCGCCAGAACACAGAGCTATAAGACGTCCCCCGGGGTCTTACAGAAACGCTATAGTGGTCTCATCAGAACCCTCAACGCCCAGTCCCACTATGGAGCCAGCAAAGGAGCCCAAAACCATGGAGGACATTATCAAGGAATTCTACGCCCAGAGAGGGGTAGTGGCGCCTATTGATGCGGGAGAATTCATTGGTCTGCGTACATTCATTGAGCAAAGCATCAAAGGTACTGACTATTGCCCCTTTCCCATGCTTCTGCCGTGTGACCCTGCGACCGTCTCTGATACACATCCATCACCAACCTTTCCAGAGGGCGACAACCGCTCGTCCATTCGCATTCCGCCCCCGGAGGTGCCCCCACGCAAGGATCGATCACCCAGCGCACCACATTTTACCATGGGCTCCGCAACTACGCCTGGACCCTCCAGGACATCGGCTACATCATCGGGGACTTCGGGTCAGAAGCGCCTGACGCAGAACCTGAACGGTCAATATACATGGAAAGGCCTCGGCAGCACTCGTGGCAAGAAGAATCGACACCAGAGTTCCGCGTTCGGCCCTTCCAATAACGCTCACGGGCCAAGGCTCTCCATCTCTCCACCATCGGCCCCGCCGTTGGGCAGCAAACGAAGAAGATTGGCGACGAATATAGGGTCATCTTCGAGGGTCCGACTCTCGTCGTCGGGCTCGTCTGCGAGCACCAGTACCGCGGCCGTGGCATCTTCTTTGGTCACCCCTTCTTCAAGCGTTCTATCATCTTCCACTTCTGCAGCTTCTACTTCAAGTATCGCTTCCTCGGCACCCTCAAGCAGCGCCACTAAGCCTCGTGCCCCTTCTCTCGCTCCTCCCGCACACATTACGCCTCCTGTGTACCGAATCGGCATCTCCCCCAATAAACCCACAACCCCTGTCAATCCGTCCCCACTGCGTAACTCATGGAATAGTACCGACTCTCCTCCATCGCCTCGTCGCCCTGCTACCAACATATCCCGCAACCATGCACCCAATCCAAATCCTAGCAGCTCGAATAGCAGCAATCCGATGGAGAAGTCGTACTCGGCTGAAATGATGAAAGACGCTATCAAGGATGCGACGGAGAAGGTCCAGCCCACTAAAGAGGATACGATTAATCCTTGGGAGCAACCGGAGGCGAAATACAAAGTGCCCAAGGTTCCTAAGAAAAAAGGGTTGAAGACGAAGGCATTGGCGGAGAGGCTCAAGAAGAAGACCGAAGCTGCCATAGAGGCCGAGAAGGAGAAAGAAAGACAGAAAGAACTGGAGGAGATGAGCATTCAAAGGATCATTGAAGCCACTGTGCCTAAGGTTCGTATTCCTCCTCGACTCACGCTTGCAACGCACTTGCTGATTGCTCTTCATGCTGTGTTCTTCATGATACAGGGCGCTAAACGGGCTCGTCCACCACCCGGCTTTGTATCGAAGAAACCCTCGACCAGCTCTTCCTCGACTAGCTCTTCCAGGATCCATGGAATTTACGGCGATTCCGCCCCCCGGCGTCAGCAGCCCACTCGTACCAACGGCATCACCAGCACTTCTTTCTTCGGTGGCTCCTCTACAACGACCGCTACCATCACCGCTCCAGTCATCGAAGAAGACGATTTAGCGGGCGATTGGGAGCTTGAACCGCCCTCACCGAAGAAGCAGAAGACTCAGCCCAAGCGCGATCCTACTCCTTCCAACTCAAATGTTTCCGTCGAAGAGATCGAGGATGTCGAGATGATGGGCAGCACCCCCATTGTCACGAAGCCTTCCGAAGTCGTTGAGCCATCAGGATCGGGCCCCTCTGTATTGGGGCCTGCCTTCACTATGCAACCGAAGACGGGCAAAGGCGCGACGCCTGGTTTGGGAGGAATCAAGAGCTCTGCACCCAAGGAGCCCTCGAAGTTGAGATTTTCCTTGAACGCAGCAGACCAAGACGAGAGTCCCTCCGCTAGTCCATCCCAAGCTACCGCTGCACTCGCAGCCAATGGATCATCCGCGTCGTCTTCGTCGTCCTCGTTCACATTCGGACCACAGCTGGGAGCAGCCCCACCAAAGCCTTCGCCCACATTCGGTTCGGCCCTCTCCCCTATTCCCGAGGTCCCCTCAGCGCCTGCCTCTGCCGTTACCACCCCTGCGTTCGGAACCGCACCACTTCCGTCTTTCGGGTTCGACATCCCCCCTACCACCAAGGACTCGTCCGATTCGATGAAGGCAGCCAAAGCCCTCCCTACCACGTCGTTGCCCACCTTCGCTTTCTTCGCTTTCGCCGTCTCGACGGTGGATGGTCCCGATGTCGTGATGTCCGAAGCGGATAATCAGTCTGAGAAGACTTCCGCTCGTGCTATCGCGCTCGGTGATTTGCCCTCCTTCGTGTTTGACATTGATGTGAAGTCCAAATCACAGTCAGTTCCTTTTTCTGCTTTCACCTCCATTACCGCTCCTGTTTCCTCAAAGGGCGGTTTTGATTATGGTGCTGCAGGCTTGACGCCGCCTCCGAAGGCCAACAACCAATGGACTTGTAGCCTCTGCAGCTGCAAGAACGACGAGGCCGCGACGAAATGCAGTGTCTGTGACGAGAAGAAGCCAGTCGTAGCGCCGAAGGCGGCGGGTGGATTTGATTGGGCGGCGGCGGGGATGAAGGCTCCGGAGAAGAATGGTGGGCATTGGACGTGTACGTTGTGTGCGTTGAAGAACGAGGCGAGTGCGACGCAGTGCAGCGTTTGCGAGACGAAGAAGCCTGTGGAGGCACCGACGCCGGCTAGTGGAGGTGGGTTTGATTGGGCGGCCGCTGGTATGCAGGCACCGCAGGTGGCTAGTGGGAGTTGGACCTGCTCGTTGTGCGCGTGCAGCAACACTGGCAGCGCGGCGAAGTGCTCGGTCTGTGACGAGAAGAGGCCATGAGCGCTGGCAGATGGTCGCGTAGTAGTGAAAGGAACAATGAAGTCAGTATAAGAATGTTTTCGTTTTTTTGTTTGTTTGCAGTTAATCGCTTTCAGCTTGCTAGTTATATATGCCCCACCCCCCTCGTCCATATCAACGGTTGGTTTGATCTAGTTTTCCATCGTCTGCATATTCCTTGTATTTTTTATATCTTTTTTTTTGGGTCCGTATCTTCACCTCAGTCGTCGTGCCTCCACAAACGCTTTCGTCTTCTGCTCACCTGAGTACGACCATTCTCGTTACAGTAGCTGGTAGCACGTATGCGCGTCATGTATTTGGCTTTCTATATTCCTGTATTCTGTCTGTCCGTACCTAGTACGGCGGCAGATTTATCGCGCATACGTGTTTTTGGTAGTCTGGTAGCTAGTATGCACCGTACTTGCTTGAGTACTTAGATCGTTAGTGCTTTGTTGTCTCGGGGTTCTACTTATAACGAATCGATGACAGTTTGAAGTTGCCTCCACATTCTCAGATACAAGTAGATCGGTCAACGCTCTATGTTTTTGGCTGGTGTGGGCATTCGAACTCACTCTGAACTTGACCAACTGCGTCGTCATCCTAACGGTGGTCCGTCTGATGTCTCAAGTCCAATGAATCGAAGAGATTCAGAACTTCTTGACTCGTTCTTGACACTTGCTTGACTGAGGTCCAGAGATTATGTAAGCCTATGCTTTGGACGGAAGAACAAGTTGAAGCTTTGTTTTTTTTTTTTTTTTTTTTTTTTTTTTTTTTTTTTT